ATGACAATAGCAAACAAGGTATAAATCTTCAAAATAGCACTTATCACCACCCAACATATTATATAGTAGGCCTTCCATATCTGTGTGTTCTGTATCAGTGGGTGCCACATCCATGAATTCAACCAACTATGAATTGAAAATATTGGATGGGGGCCAGGCATGGTGGTGCATGCCTGTAATCCCAGCTACTCTGGAGGCTGAGGCACGAGAATCGCTTGAACCAGGGAAGTGGAAGTTGCAGTGAGCTGAGATTGCGCCACTGCACTCCAGCCTGGGCAACAAAGTGAGTGAGACTCCGTCTCAAAAAATTTTAAAAACAAAAGAAAATATTGGATCAGGTAATGGTTCTGTTGTGCCTGTACTAAACATGTACAGACTTTTTTCTATTGTCATTATTCCCTAAATAATACAATAACACCTATTCAAAAGGCATTTACACTGTATCAGGTATTATAATTTTTTTTCATTTTCCAGGTTACCATTGAGATAATTTTTGTTTTTTGAGATGGGGTCTCGCTCTGTTGCCCAGGCTGAAGTGCAGTGGTGGCATCTGGGCTCACTGCAGCCTCGGCCTCCTGGGCTCAAGCAATCCTCCCACTTCAGCCTCCCAAGTAAGCAGGACTGCAGGCATTCGCCACCATGCCTGGCTAATTACAGGTGTGAGCCACTGTACTCAGCTTGCATGTAGTTTAAATATTAAAGAGAGTGATTACGTTTTTACTCAGAAGAGGTAAGAGGTTTGACTAGATCAAAGACATAGGTAAAGGGTTTAGCTCTTATCAGAGTAGCAATCTTTCTGCTTAGAAACTAGAGGACTGGAAGAGAGGATATACTAAGGAATTTTTAGGCAAAGAGGAAGAAGTTGTAGGATTTCTTTTCTCCTTCTCTTTCTCTCTCCCTCCCCTCCAACAGGGTCATACCTCTGTTGCCCAGACTGGAGTGCAGTGGTGCAATTATAGCTTGCTACAACCTTGAACTCCAGGGCTCGTGAAATCTTCCCACTTCAGCTTCCTGAGTAGCCAATACTGCAGGTGTGTGCCACCACACCCAGCTAAGTGTAGGATTTCCTATCTTACTTTTTTAATAATGTAGGGATTGAGGTTATCTATTCGGCATATAGTTAATTAGTGGTGAGGTTGGGATCCTGGGAGAAGAAAGCATTTAGGAAAAACATTGTAGGGCAGCTACCAAATTCACCAAATATTTACTGACCACCTGCATTGTGCCAGGCACTCTTGTAGACAAGATTAGTGTCCTTGTGGAGCTAATCACTGGAGTGAACAAAAACAATACTAAATTGTAATGTGATATGAAAAGAATTAAAATATCGCAGTTGATAGTGACTGGTTGTCTTCTACTGAGGAGGTGACATTAAGATCTGAAAGACAAGAATTTAGCCAAACTAAAAGAAAATCAAGCTATGTAAGTTTAAACCTCGCCGGGCGTGGTGGCTCCCGCCTGTAATCCTAGCACTTTGGGAGGCCAAGGTGGGCTGATCACATGAGGTCAGGAGTTTGAGACCACCCCGCCAACATGGTGAAACCCCGTCTCTACTAAAAATACAAAAATTAGCCGAGCATGATGGCACATGCCTATAATCCCAGCTACTCGGGAGACTGAGGCAGGAGAACTGCTTGAATCTGGGAGGCGGAGGTTGCACTGAGCCGAGATCACACCACTGCACTCTAGCCTAGGCGTCACAGCGAGACTCTGTCTCAAAAAAAAAGTTTAAACCTCAAAGTGGAAATGAGCTGATTGTGTTTGAGGAATGGAAAGAATTTCAGTGTTTCTGCAATAAGGTGGATGAGGACCATAGTGTCATGAGATGAGATTAAAGAATTTGACTGGGCACAGTGGCTCACATCTGTAATCCCAGCACTTTGGGAAGCCAAAACAGGAGGATCGCTTGAGGCTGGGAGTTTGAAACCCGCCTCAGCAACATACTGAGACCACATCTCTTAAAAAAATTTCATATTGAAGTAGGCAGAGCCAGGCCACGTAGTATTCTGTGGCTGTGGTAAGGTGTTTAGACTCTAAGTCTTTTGAGGGTTTTTTTTTTGGTTTTTTTTTTTTTTTTAGACAGAGTTTCACTCTTGTTGCCCAGGCTGGAATGCAATGCCGCGATCTCAACTTACTGCAACCTTCGCCCCCCAGGTTCAAGTGATTCTTCTGCCTCAGCCTCCTAAGTAGCTAGGATTACAGGTACCCACCACCATGCCTAGCTAATTTTTTGTATTATTAGTAGAGATCAGGTTTCACCGTATTGGCCAGGCTGGTCTCTAACTCCAGACCTCAGGTGATCCACCTGCCTTGGCTTCCCAAAGTGCTGGGATTACAGGCATGAGCCACCGCACCTGGCATCTTGTGAGTTTTTTGTTTTTTTTTTTTAAAAGATGGAGTCTCGCTCTGTCTCCCAGGCTAGAGTGCAGTGGTGCGATCTTGGCTCACTGCAATCTCCGTCTCCCGGGTTCACGCCATTCTCCTGCCTCTGCCTCCCATGTAGCTGGGACTACAGGCGCCCGCCACCACGCCCGGCCAATTTTTGTATGTTGTTTAGTAGAGATGGGGTTTCACCGTGTTAGCCAGCATGGTCTCGATCTCCTGACCTCGTGATCCGCCCCCCTCGGCCTCCCAAAGTGCTGGGATTACAGGCGTGAGCCACCGTGCCCGGCCATCTTGTAAATTTTTAAGCATAAAAGTGATATGATATGATATATGCCTTAGAGTCCTCTGTTTTATTGAAGATGAATTACAGGTGCAGAATCGAAGCACAAAGGTCAATTAAGAGGCTGTTGCAACTGACCAGGCCAGAGACGACGGTGGAGAAACTTAATATGATTGCTGAGCAATAGTAAAGGCCTAGTTTGAGATAAGCTAGCATGACATGGCAGGCAGTATGAATTTAGCTAGCATAACCTTTTAGGTGAACATGAGAAATTTGACACTGGTAGTTGAAATAACTGTCTATGAGATGCAGGATTGATAAAGGGTATGCATCAAGGCACTGGAGACCGTTATATATTGAATACATATTTACTGAGCATCTACTAATATACCAAGAACTCTGCTACCTGCTAGGGTTACAACAGTGAACAAAAACAGAGGTCCATTTCTCATGGAGTTGATATTCTAATGAGGACAGAGAAGATAAACAATAAATATATAGTCACCTGTGGTATCTGTGGGAAATTGTTTCCAGGACCCTTGTGGATACCAAAATCCAGAAATGCTCAAGTTCCTGATATAAAATTGTATAGTCTTTGCATACAACCTATGCATATCTTCTTGTATACTTTAAATCACCTCTTGCTGGGTGAGCATGGTGGTTTACACCTGCAATCCCATCAGGAGGCTGAGGCAGGAGGATCCCTTGAGCCCAGAAGTGATCGCATCACTGGACTCCAGCCTGAGTGATAGACTGAGACCCCATTTTCTTAAAAAAAAATTATCTCGGCCGGGCTCACGCCTGTAATCTCAGCACTTTGGGAGGCCAAGGCGGGCAGATCACCTGAGGTCAGGAGTTCGAGACCAGCCTGGCCAACATGGTAAAACCCCGTCTCTACTAAAAATACAAAATTAGCAGAGCATAGTGGTGGCCGCCTGTAATCCCAGCTACTTGGGAGGCTGAGACAGGAGAATCACTTGAACCCGGGAGGTGGAGGTTGCAGTGTGCCAAGGTTATGGTACAGCACTCCAGCCTGGGTGACAGAGCATGAGACTCTGTCTTAAAAAAAAAAAAAAAAAAAAAAAAAAGCCCGGTGGGGTGGCCCATGCCTGTAATCCCAGCACTTTGGGAGGCTGAAGCAGGCAGATCACCTGAGGTCAGCAGGTCGAGACCAGCCTGGCCAACATGGTGAAACTCCGTCTCTACTAAAAATACAAAAATTAGCCGACATGATGGCACATGCCTATAATCCCAGCTATTCGGGAGGCTGAGGCTGGAGAATCACTTGAACATGGGAGGCAGAGGTTGCAGTGAGCCGAGATCATGCCACTGCACTCCAGCCTACATGACAGAGCAAGACTCTGTCTCAAAAAAATAAAAATAAAAATAATTGGGCATTAATTGATCTATAGGAGATTTGAACCAGATATATGGTTACCCTAACTATAACTCCAGTGCTTAAGGAAGTGATGGCTGCAGCTATATCACATATGGGTTTAATAAATAAATTAGCTAAAATATTCAGATTTTATCACCTCCTCTTTACTCTTCACTCCATTGCAAGCTGATTTTCAGCCATAAACAGCATCCTGAAATGGTCCCTGCTGGGATCATCAATGAATTCCTAAATGCCAAATCCAAAAGTTTCTTCAGTTTTCAACTAACCTGCCTAAAGAGCTTTCAACACTACTGACTCTCCTCTCTGCTTCATGAAGCTCTGTTCTTAACTCTGTAGGAAACACAATCCTCCATAACAGACTATCTTCAAACAAGACCTAGCATCCCCTCACTCCCACTCCCTACCATATAGGTTAACTAAAAGTTATAATCTGCTGGGAGCAGTGGCTCATGCCTGTAATCCCAGCACTTTGGGAGGCCAAGGTGGGCGGATCACTTGAGGTCAGGAGTTCAAGACCAGCCTGCCAACATGGTGAAACCCCGTCTCTACTAAAAATACAAAAATTAGCCGAGCATGATGGCACATGCCTATAATCCCAGCTACTCGGCCACAGCTTGACCTTTCACCTCCCACCTCACTCCTGGATCTGCAGCTCCACCATCACACAGAAGAAAAACCAAAGGCCTGACTCTGGTCTACAA